CTTGCATCTTTTTATAAGCATTTTATTTCTCACTTTAACGGTATTATGGCTCCGATTACGAGTTTGTATGAGGTAAAGTTTGTTTGGACTTGTAGAAGCGAAGAGGCATTCTAGAAGATCAAAACACGTTTGATAACTACCTTTATTTTGGTGTTGTAAGATTTTTTATAGCCCTTCGAGTTACACAATGATACATCTAAACTAGGTATTAGAGTGGCGTTGAGTTGGAATAATAGACTAGTGACCTATTTAAGTGAAAAGCTATCAAGGGCAAAGCTTAATTATAACATTTATGACATGGAGTTTTATATAGTGGTTCGAGTTGTAAAATATTAGAGGCATTATCACGTTCAATAAGGAATTCATACTCGTATATTGATCATGAGGCATTGAAGCACTTATATAGATAAGATAAGGTGTTAACGAGACATACGAATTTGATTGTTTATTTACAACATGTCACTTTTGTGGTTAAGTATAGGTTAGACTAACTAATAGAGTGGATGATGCATTGAGTAAAAAGAGCTATTTGTTGATATACATACAAGTTGAGGTACCTATTTTTGATTCCTTTTATGATTTACTTGATACTAATCCTTATTTCTCTACTTGTTATAGGAAAAGCTCGCGTAGGGGAGAAGATAAATTGCTTACTACATGATGGGTTTCTATTTAAAGAAAATTAGCTTTGTGGATTAGATTATAGTTTGCGCTTGCATATCAATAAGGAATTGCATGAAAAAGGTTATGTAGGGTGAGACAAAACCTTGTAACTAGTGTAGGCTTCTTACTTTTGGCCTACCATTCATAAGAAAGTGGAGAAGTTTATACGGCGTTATTGAATCTTCCAAGTGTCTAAGGGAATAGCTATTAATATAGGACTATACATTTCTTTGCCGATCCTTTCTCAACCTTGGGTGGATGTCGGCATGGATTTTTTTTTGAGATTACCTCGAAGCACGGCGAGGTAATGATTCCATATATGTAGTTATTAATCATTTTTTTAAGATGGTTCATTTTATTCTTTGTAAGAAAACCACGGATGTTGTTAATATGGCTCATATTTTTTTTCGAAAAGTGTATTGTCTAAATGGTTTATTGATATCCATTGTTTCTAATAGAGATATAAGGTTCCTCAATCACTTTTGACATAGCTTATGGAAGATGATGAACACGTAGTTAGATTTCAATAGTGCTTATCATCCACGGATAGATGGACAAATTGAAGTTATCAATTGGTCTTTGGGAAACTTACTATGATGTTTGGTTGATGATCATGTAAAGAGTTGGGATAAAAAGCTATGCCAAGCTGAGTTTGTTCATAACCATGTTATGAACATGAGTACTAGATTTAGTCCATTTCGGGTGGTGTATTCTATTATTCCTAAGGACATTTTAGGTTTGATCCCTTTGCTTGGCAAGACTAAAATTCATGGAAAGACAACTAATTTTATGATTGGACTAGAGGAAATTCATAAGATTGTGTATGATAATTCAACTCGGTCTTATTCTAAGTATAAGGTAGCTACGGATAAGAATTGTTGCCATATAGAGTTTAAAGAGGGTGACTTTGTGTGGATCTGTTTTCATCAAGGATTGTTTTTCTATAGGAGAGTACAACAAATTGGTAGCAATGATGGTTAGTCCTCTAATGATAGTTAAGAAGATCAATCCTAATGCTTATCGCCTTAAGTTGTCAAGTAGTATTCACACTTGTAGATGTGTTTAATGTCAAGCATTTGATGTTGTTTTACGGTGATTCTTCTTCTAATGATGATATGATAATTTGAGGGTGAATTTTCTCTATCCTTAGGGGAATGATGCGGACCGAGTGGGCCTTAAAATTTATGGAGTGGTATGAGCGCGACTATAACTAGTGAAACCGAGCACGGTTAAATTTTGAGGTCTCTTGGACCTAGTTTGATGCAAAATAATTCAACGAGTCAAACCGATCATTAAGCTATGAGGAGACGTGATTTTGGCCAAAAAAGACCATTTAGGCCCTCTAAATGGACTTTTTAAGATTTTTAAGATTTTTATTTTGTTTTCCTTTTCAAGTTGGTTTAGGGTTTCATGTCTTTTTTCCTAATTTATATGTAAGCCTTTGAAGTCTGTAAAACTTAGTTTTTTTGGATGATTATAACATTTCGGAGAGAGTATCTCAATTTATTTTAATTTTTGGCTTTTTTTTTAATCAACGAATCTTAAAGTATATTTTCTAGTATTTGTGCATGACTCAATATGTTGTAGTAGATCGATATCTAGTATTCATGCATGAACCAATAGATCAATGGTATTTATCTTTTCTTTTATAAGTTTCTACCGCATCATACTCTCTGTACTCTAATTTTTCATTTTCGTCTCCCGATTCCCCTCTTTCTAACATCTATACCACTCCTATTTATATTCAATTTCTACTAACCAAAACCAATTCTCCCTCTCATTTCTTTATTGTCAATCGTTCAATCAAAACTCTCTCTTTCTCTACCTCTCCATTTTGTTATTTCTTGACGTTCTAATCCTCTCTAATTTTTGCAGCGAGACTCATGAACCAAGTAAAGGAAGGATCGATAAGTCGGCTAAAGGAATGAACATTTAATGTCTCTAATGTGAATTGACAATCAATCTTCTAACTTCTTGAATTTTTCAATTATGTCCTTCAATTTCTTTCAATTATACCTTTAATTCGTCCCGATTTTTGTTCAAATTGGCACCTATTAGCTTTCAATTTCAAATTGATTTAATGCAATTATGCTCGTTGGTTAAATCTATTTTCAATTTTGTATTTTATGTATTTTTGTATTTTTCTTTTTCTTCTTTTTTGTTTCTTTTCTTACAAAAATAAATAAAATAAAATCCTAAATAAAACTTGTAAAATTGACCATGAAAAATAAAATAAAATAAATAAAAATAAAAAGAATAAATTTATCCAAAAATACTAAAAACATAATAAAAAATAAATATAACCTAAATTTTGAGTTGTTACATGGAGCGAATTGTTTCCCTAAACCTCTGGACATGCACGTACACTTTTCTTAATTAGTATCAATCAAACTACTGGGCAGCATCTGTCTGGTGAAGCATGTTCCTCCTCCAACTCAGCTGGCACTTATATATATATATATATATATATATATATATATATATATATATATATATATATAATCTTGTCCATCATTCACAGAGACATTATTAGCATTGAAATATGAAATTAACATTTCTGCTCGCCAAAAAAAAAAAAGTATGCCGTACCAATAAGTTGGCTAATGGCAAGTAAGATGGTTTCAAAGGAATTTTTTTTTAATTATTTTTTGAATATGTATGATTTTAATTTTAAAATCATATTTGTTGAAAAAAGTTAAATCTGAGATATGAATATCTAAAGAAAAACATATGTGCAGTAAAAAATAAAAATAAAAACAACTATCATTTTATTCATTGTGAAAAAAAAAATTACAGGAAATAGCGATTTTATGAGCTAGAATTAATCTCCAGTTAATATTCTTGTTAAATACCCAAAACTTCGAGTCCATCACTTCAAATTCGACAAGCAAAAATGACATAAAATGATGAAATCTATATATCTGAAAGTGTTCAACATATAGAAATAATTAAAATCAATTAAGCAAAGACAAATTATTAGATGAGTGATAAAAAAAATGAAAATGAAAGAGATGATGAGATGACGCAAAGAGACAATCAAGGGACGGAGTGTCGGTTCCATAAACAAGCAGTAGGACCCAAAAGAGGTGGAGTTTTATGACAAACAACAGTAGCTGTACAAATCATTCCAGCTGGAGCTATAGAGACCAAACTGAGTAAAAGCAAAGGGAGAATAGGTAGGCGATTAAAATACAGAGAGGGTTCAAGATCCTGTCCACCGTCCCCAAAGATTCGTATATATATGTTAGAAGAAAATGTGATGCGAAGATTGCTAATGCCCTACACCGCAGTCAAGGTTCAAGGTGTCGCGCATGCGCATGCGAATCATGCAAATGCCAAATAATATTTTCAATTGTGACCAAGGCCGTTGTATTTTTAAATGCTAGCTAGTGTTGAGACCGTGAGACATTTGTAGAGTTAGGGCAATTCTAATTCTATTCCCACGCATATATGGTATCATTTGTAGAGTTAGGGCATTGCATTTGCATGGGCAAGTTGAAGCTTAAAATGGGAATTTTGTAGGTGTTTGAATTCTTACATAAGAAGCGTACAAAGCCTATTAATCAATCAATCATGATCATATAAAGCGTATGCTGATAATTCATTCTTCTTTTAGTGATCGGATTGGTCTGCTGATTTAGAATTTAATCGATTTGTGTGATTTTAATCAATTTCATAATTATCTGAGTCATTTCCATGGATTTTAGTTTAGTCTTTCTTTGATACATGTTGACTGAACAATTTGTTAGTGGCGTATATTACCTCATTACCAAATTATGACATAATTATTCTAAGAAATTAATTAGAATAAAATTCTCCTTTTGAAACTCCCCCCCCCCCCCCCCAAAAAAAAAAAAAAAAAAAACTGTAAAGCTACTTATGATATGATTCTCTGACAACCCCTAATTAATTTGTTTCATAATTAATCTACATGTGAAACGTACACAAAAATCCAGTCTTTGTTTTGTGACAAAAAATTCAGTCTTGGATTTTCCCTAGCATAAATGAATATTAATTTTGTCCAGAAAGTTATTACATGTACTTATTTAAATGAAATCAATCACATCACAATCCTTCGACTATCAAAATTTTTAATTAAATTATTTTAGTCTATATAGACTAGGTTCAAAGTACTAAAATTATTTTTCTAACGAGACTACATGACAGAAATTGGATAACATAACATAGAAACTCACCAAATTGCTCCACAATACAATTATATATGTGTGTGGCACGCTGGGTACGAATTAAGACTAAAAAACCCCTGATTGCTCTAGCTTGCATGTTTTGCATGTGGTCTCCACTGTGCTCGTTAGAAAATTTAAAAAAAAAAAAAGAGAGAGAAAAGCAGTCCAATGCTAGCGACAAGAACAAGGTCTCTATTGGCCCTATCATTTACACGTAATCTTTCACATGCAGGGTGACATATATTATATCAGACAAACTAGGGAATGTTCTCTTTATTTTATTCATAAAAATTAAAATAAAAAGAAAAGAAAAACTCTTGCCATCTTCGAACGTCACTTTATGGTTTTATGATGCCAATTTGCTGTGTTATGCATGGCTATGGAGGCAGGTAGAACCGTTGGATCAAGAGCCCGGCCGGAGCATCATTTGAAACTTCTCTCGAAAAATAATATGGTCCCTGATTGCAAAGCCAAGTTGGGGTTCATCTAATTCTACGTTATGATTACATAACATGTGCCCTAAGACCTTTAGGGTCATTAGTGAGAAATCATGGTGGGGCCCATCCTCTACGCCCAAAAGAACCAGATTGACTGCACGCATGACGAGGTCGAGTTATTTGACCATCATCATGGCAAGGACCAGATCAGAATCTGATGGTGATCAGAAGCATATATGCTTAATTTAAAACCGTGTGATTCTGTGTCTAAAGGCAACGATGTTGTTCAAATTTGAACTGCTTGATTTCCGATATGGAGGGATAATAAACTATATATGTATATGTATATGGTGCGTGCAGTGGACCTACTTCAATGGTCCTGATCAATCTCCCTCCAATCTTCGTTTTGTTCTCTTTTCTCGACTATGCTTTGTATGTGTGTTATAAAGTTATACACCCTGCACAACTTAAAAAAAAAAAGAAAAAAAAAAAGGGGGAAGCATACAGATTTTTTAGTACAGAAAAATTAACTTTTAAAATGTAGGAAATGGGTTAAGTGAACTTTCTTGTACTTTTATTTGAGCTAAAAAGAGTCAAAACTTGTAAAAGCAACAAGTTATCAAAGATACATATAGGAGTGTTTAGTATGGAGATATCTTAAATATTTTTTTCTATTTAGCAAATTTTAAATGTCAGGAATATTTGTGTTTAATTTGTTAAGGAATATTAAATACCAAAGCATTTGAAATGTCTTAACACATCACATTCCCTCCAAATCTAGAAATTTTATGCCCTTTCTAAAATGAAGGGAATGGCATTCCGCGGTTGGGAAGGAATGTAAATTCTATTTTAAACTTTAATACTCTTATTTTTATTTTTAAATGGACTAAGATACCCTTATTTTTATCAATAATAACAGGATTACTTATTACTTTAACCCATAATTTTAAATGTAATTAATATATTATATATGTATGCACCATTATTTAGAAAAACAAAATCATATTGACAAATTGGTTTTAAGTGTGATAAATTAGATATTTTAGTATCAAAGATAAACTAGTTAACTAATTTAAATTTCTCATGAATTCCCATAAATAGATAATTAAAAAAAAATTCAATTTTAACTAAACATAAATATCACATTTTAATAATCATATTCCAAAAGAATATTTAAGAATTATAACAAACTCCCAATAAACACACACAAGGAAGGTGTTTGAATTTCTGGTGTCTTCAAACTCAAAAATATTTTGCTACCAAAAAGATTAAAAAGAAAAAAAGAAAAAAAGTAAAGAGTATTCATACCAAGTATTTTCTAAATTTTAATTTATAACTTGATCATTATATTTGCTATACAGTGATAATGGTATAGGAGCAATATTGGTTATTAAATGAAAAATTTTCCTCTTCTAAATCTTTTAATTGTTTAAAAAAAAAAAAAAAAGAAAGAAAGAAAGAAAGAAAGAAAGAAGAAGGAAAACTTAAGATGCATATAAGTTAATATAAAATTATTATTGGATTTTAATTAAACAATTAAAAATTTTGTATTAAGATAATTTTTTTTTTTAAGATCTCGAAGGTATCATAAGCTTAAAAGTCCAAACTAATTCCTTATTATTTAGTCATACATAAAAATGAGACATAACTATATAAAGAGGTTTTTACGTAGTTAAGAACTCGAACTCAAAATCACTAGTTTAAGTAACTAAAATTCTCTACATTCAAGCTAACTCTATTGCGTTATTAAAATAATTCTTTAACAATTGATATGTCTAATTAAAAGGTATATCAGGTAACATGATTAATTTATTTTCTTAGGCTGATTAATTCTCTCCGATTTTCAAAGCCCATTATTCGTTTTAAGGTTTGAATATGTAAAATTTTAACAGAAATCTCAAATTTTAATGGAGAAGCTGTTTTTGAATACATTCAAAAGTGTTTGAGGCATGTATATAAATTGTAAATTGTTGTCTTATATGAGCCCGCTGTATGTTTAGAATTATGAATCAAATACGGGTAAATATTATTCAACTGCCTTGAATATTGAGGTTTCGTATGGCTGAAGCAAAATATCTTACATAGGCCTATGAATGCACAGTCCGACGTCAGTCATTCACTTTGTCGCCATCAAGATAAAAGAAAGACCGAGACACGAATCCATATAGGTCCCGTAGCATAATATTTTTGTATGCATATAGGTTGACAAGTGTTCAGATTAGTGGTCTTAGAAATGCTACGCCGACTTCCATCCCTTGAGGTTAAAAAAAGAAAAAGAAAAAAAAGTTCCGTTCCCATTCCTAGAAATCAATAGCCCGTCAAATTTAACCATATTAAACCGTTGAATAAAATTCAATAGAATCAGAACAAGATTTGTTGCAACAATTGCATACGAAGTTGTCGTTGTGATTGATATCGTTAGTGTAAAACTTAGTGTTAGATTTGACACTTAACAGTTTAATCACTCTTGTTTGTGTCAAGGAAGTCGGCAGGTTCTTCCCATGGAAATTAATCAATGATTAGCATATGGAACCTAATGCGGAGGTTTCCAAAAGCTATAGCCATGATGATAAGCTGCTTCCATTTTAAAGAGTGATCACCTGATCATTGAACTGATGATTTTTCTGTACCTGAAAGAAACAAATAATGATTAGTAGGAATAATTCGAAAATTAATAGACGTTGTTCCTCAGAGGAGATTTATTATAGCTATGCAGTTTCTCCTCCTTTAATTAGTCCTTACAAGAGGTACCTGTCAGTGTACCCCGTGAAACATGGGCACATACACTTTAATTTATTCACCTGACAGTTTGTTCTTTGGGCCCTCTATCAGCTGGATCTAAGCTAGTGTGTTGCTCAAGCTATCTATTTGCCTTGGCAAAGTATGCTTCACCAATCATGATTCTTACTCTTACCTCAAGTGATCTGGTTTTTGAATTTAGTTCAGGATTTTGGTCATTTGAATTATTAGTTATAAGCTCTATGCAGGCAAGTAGAATTTTAATGGGACTAAAAAAGATCTGACTCTCCTCCTTAAAGTATATTATGTGTACGTCGATCTGAGCAAATTAAGATGATCTAAACCAGCCCATATTGAAATTATATATACATGCTCATAAAATGATATTGGAATTTTTAGATAACTGGACGCATTTTCTCCAATGTTAGCTTTTGGAAGGCCTTAACTAGCGATAAATGGAAAATGCATGTAAAACTTGAGACGATGTAATCTGTTCAGCCATCCGTACTGTACAATTTCGCTTGGCATCGCCACACAAGATAAAAAGATTGGCCATGTGGTCGCACTGGGTAAGAGAAGAGGCACGTGAGAGGCGCATGATAGGGAGAATCGATCCTTTGCTTGTGGAAGGAGGCGAGTGGGTCCCCTCATTTGGCCCCTCAAGTTAGAGTGCTCTTTCGGTATGCCCTTGCTTCTTTATCGAAAACCCCAAAATCCCATATTCTCTCTCTCTCTCTCTCGTCCTAGCTTCCGTCATGTCACACAATTTGGACCTTTGTTAGTGTGACGACCAAGCCGCTATCTCTGACGTTACCATTACCCCACTCACAATCCAACGTCTCTCATTGCCCCAGCTCAAGGAAACCAATGACATCACAGCCGTCTATTTTGTGAGGGAGAGATAGATTTTTGGTCTAAGATTAGTGGGTCCCGTTGTCATAACATTGGACAGACAACGTAGGGACCCACGAATGTTTAAGCCCACCGACTGTTTATGCACCTCTCATAGAGTGTAGAGCAGCAGTAGCTGATCACACTTAGCTCTCTCTCTCTCTCTCTCTCTCTGTCTTTCTACAGTCCACTGAAGTGCCTTTATCTTGCCTTCTTATTCACTGCCACCCCACCTCATTTTTCCCATATTCACCCTGACCTTACAAACCAATTCTCACTCCCTTCTGTTCCGTCCCTCTCTCGTTCTCTATCCCTCTCTTTCGGTACTCTCTAGTTCTTAGTAGCAGCCATATACATCAAGGTTAGACAAATGAAATAGTTAAAGATCAAGTGTGACTGAAGGGAAGGGAAGGGTGTTGTTGGTGGTTGATACTACATACCCAAAACTACTGCGTGTTTGTGCTTTTGGTGATATTTGGTTTTGCATTTGATGGGCCTTACTTCATTGCAAGTTTGCATGGATTCTAGTGATCATTGGCTGCAGGTATGCCATGCTCTTTTCTTTTGGAAATTCGATAGTGTACTCTATAACTAGCTACATATATATACTCTCATCACACGATGACATTTTCGTAGTTCTGTGAAAAGTTAGCTTCATTAATTAATTTCATTGTCTTTGTGTTGCTACTGGAATTATTCTGCATTCCAAAAAATGAGTAACATAACTGGATAATTTCACCATAAAAATCCTGTTATTTTTATGTGATTTAATGCCATCCTGTATGGTTTAAACTAGTGAAAATAGCAATGCACGTATATATAATAAATGGTTATGGAATTCAACTCTTCTTTCCATATAATATAAAATGCTACTTGAAAGAGCATTTCTAAAGTTCAATATTGTAGAGCTATATATATTAGAACTGATTAATGCTGAAAAAGATATATTATTCCAGGCTCCGAAGTCGATCATCATCTGTTTTCACTTGATTTGGAAGTGCATGTTTAGAGACTTCTTGGCTTCAGTGCATCTTTTGCATTTTAGCATTCTACTTGATGTGTTGAAAAACGACAAAAGAATGTCCTATAGTCCTGATGAGCACATGACTGATATCTTGAAGCTTCAAAGGACAAAATAATTTCTTCCCTCCTGTCCCATTGCATTATTGTATATGACAAAACATTCCGACACATTCCCTCATTAAATTTCTTGCTTTCCGTGTATCAGGGCACGATTAACGAGGAGTCTGGAATGGATTCTTCTTCACCATCTGGGGATGTGCTCACTTGTTCAAGGCCCTTGATTGAAAGGAGGCTTAGGCCCCCACATGACCAAGCTCTCAAGTGTCCCAGGTGTGACTCCACACACACCAAATTTTGTTACTACAACAACTACAGCCTCTCTCAGCCAAGGTACTTTTGCAAGACTTGCAGGAGGTACTGGACCAAAGGAGGCACCCTAAGGAACATCCCTGTGGGTGGTGGGTGTAGAAAGAACAAGAAAGTGTCTAAGAAATCAAATGATCAATCAGTTAACCAAATTAACCCTGGACCCTCATCCGCTCATAATCCTACTGATCTTCACCTTTCATTTCCTGAGGTGCAACTTTCACACCTTAATAACATACTTGGGTCTCAAGGAGCACATGTAAACCCTAACTTCATGGAGAGCAAGTATAATATCGGCATGCTAGAAAACCCTAGGCCTATAGATTTTATGGATAGTAAATTAGAAGCTCTAGTGGGGAGTTCTAGGAATTATGATTTCATGGGCAATGGCGACTTGGGTATGGTTAGTGGGCTCGGAGATATGAGTCATCATCATGGGTTAGCACCAAATTTTAGTGGCCTTTGCTCTCCATTTGGGATGTCCCTTGATGGAAATACTGGCACTTTCATGGAAACTTGCCAAAGGTTAATGCTTCCTTATGACCAAGGAAATGATCATGATCAGAATCCAATTGATGTGAAGCCAAACCCAAAGCTCTTGTCCATTGATTGGCAAGACCAAGGTTGCTCTGATGGTGGGAAGGACACATTTGGATACCTGAACAATTTGGGATCATGGACAGGCATGATGAATGGTTATGGATCATCCACGACCAATACTTTATTGTAATCCAAACCAAAGATCCTATATTGTAATCACTGGTTGTGGGGTCATCTGCATTATTCTAGATCATCCAGTAATTACTAAGTAATTGCCTTTGATGGAAAGGTTTTTTTTTGTGTTTTTTTTTCTATGAAAGCGTGGTCTCCAAATTTCATTGACTTGACGAGCGACAAGAGTGTGAATGTGAACAATGAGAGTCCAAAAATGACTGCTTAGTATCTTACTATTTGTTTTTATGTTCTCATCTTGTTTCTATCTTTTCTTAATTTGGTGTATTCAGATTCAAACATATAGGACTTTGTTTTGTTGTTTAATCGAGGAAGATATATAGTAGTGTTTTTTTAGCTTAAAAATATGTTATAGTACGATCTTAACTCTTATGATATTTCCTGCTGCTCTTTATATGCTTGGTGACTGATTAAGCTATATTATCGACATGAGGATTTTATAACTGCCTATGTGGTTGGGGCAGTTCCAGACAGGGAAGTGGAATGAAAAGCAAAAATTCTTCTCGAGTTATGTGGCCCCGTTGTGCTTTAATTTGGTGGCTCCTTGTTAGAGCAAAATCAAATTCGTTGGAATTATCCAAACTTTTTTGATCAAGGGATTAGTTAAACTTTATTACTAATAGTAGATAAAATAACAAGATTTATTATTATTATTATTATTATGTTTAACGAGAGAGTACTCAAACTTGTTAACCCTTATGGGGAGAAATATGAGCACTCTTTAGCGATTAAATGATAATTTGAACATCAATCAAATAAGAGATTAAGGATGTTTTTTCATGACGTACATTTCAAGGATTCATCAAGTTACTTTTGTTTCAAAGGACAGTTGAAACTAGTATCTTTTCAATGGACCCTATAGGTCGTGACGACAATGTATGCTTGGAAGTGTCTGCATTAATTTTAATTTGTTCAATTCAAATGTGATTGATGAATTTATGAAAAAGGTAACATTGGGAAAATGAAGTCTGAAATTCTGAAATAAAATGAAAAAGAAGAAGAAGCAGCATTAAGAAGGAAAATTACTAGTAATGTTTGGTTAATCGTGAAGATAAAGCTAGTACTGTGTTTGATTGAAGTGAGCAAATTAACCAACTGAAATTGGATTATCCAAAGGAATCAAGTCGGAAAACACCCATTCGGTTGGTCTTCAAGTATCTTGATTAGTATAGAGCATAACACACAGGCGGTGGTAAGAATGACATACATTTTGATTAGTTGAGCATATATATAATGCAACGAAAGTTCTTTTGGATGCAGATTGATATAGAAAATACCTTACGATTGATGTATCTACGAAAGTTTAGTTTGATGGAGGTTGATGTGCGGATACCTTATAGTTTATGCTTCTGTGGCGTTAAGAGTTGAACATGAACATATTTTGCTTGAGTACAAAGCATCCCATTGCGTTTCCGAGATATTTTACTTCCAAGAAATTAAATATGGCACCTATATTCTTCAATGCAGATTAACTTTGGAAGTTGTGTTATAGGTTCTTGATAACTAATGAAATAATTAGTCAGTAAATTCGATTAAAATATAAAAAATTAGTGTTATAATTTGTTAAAATAATGATTAATCAATCAAATCAAATAAATGCAATTAATGAAAGATATGAGAATAAGAGCACACAATGCTAGTAAGATGTAAGTCAAAATGATAAGTACATATAGATTAAAATCTAAATAGATAAAGTTTTAGGAGTTATGAGGTGTGAGAGCAAGAAACCTTTGAGAGATTGTGAGTAAAAGATCAAAAGTCCGTAAAAAAATATAAAAATTGGAATTCTCTCGTAATTGTTGTGAGGTTGACATTTATAGTAAGATAATAATGATCTTTGACCGTTAAGATCGTATCACGTTATCCATATTGAACAATCAAATTCGAGGTTGTAAAAATAATAAGTTCTTTTTAAGTTAAATAACTTCCAATTACTAGTAAAGGTTAAAGAAAATTGTAATTTGGCTTTTTCTTTTCTCTCTTTTTTTTTTTTTAACGTATCCTACTTTGAACCTATCGAGCTAATCTCCTTAATACATTCTAAAGACAAGGTATAAACACTAACCCTATTAAAATATCTGTGTCCATCTTTGCATAATTCAAGACCTTATGCTATGCAAGACCATTTTTAGTTCAATCCATTTATTGTGTAGCTTAGATCTATGTCAAAACTAAAGAAAATAACATGGATTAATATAAGATAAAATCAACTCAATTACTTAATTAATTTTTGGAAAAAACTAAGCATATATATTTAGCTTTTTACATGGATAATCTTATCAACAAGAGTGTTCATACAATTACGTATAATGAGATGAAAGACATTAAAAAAATAACCTAGCGATGACTTGTCATAGACTTATCGTGAGTCTCTCATTGCACACCAATTAAATTAGTAAGGGTCTTGATAGGCCAGCTATAGGCCCTCCAAAATATAGAAAAATAAATAATAAAAGTTGTTTGGTAAAAGGCTTCTTGTGCAAAAAGTTGAGAACAATTACTTGTAGGCCTCTTTTGGACCTCTTAAACCTAATGTCGTTACCCGACGTCGGATGGGACTTCTCGAAAATAATCTAAGATTAGATTGGTATTTATAAGTTTACTTATAGAGTTTGGAGTCGCCATCTAGTATTAAAGGAACTAGGAACCTAAAACGGACAACTGGTTCGGAGATTACTATGGTAAAGAGTTGGTTACGCTTTTAGGAAGATATCAATCACCCAAAAGCGCCCTTTTCGAAAAAAAGGTACCACGTCCGGTTTAGCTCTAAATTTATCTCCTAAAATATTTTATTTATGTCAAATTATTTTCTTATTCTTAATCTCCCATTTTTTTTTAGACAAATTAAATTTTTTAGTTTTGAGTGTGGCATCGTATTGAAACGATCGTCGGTCACCTTCGTCGGGCAACACGTCGATTCAAACATCGGATCCACTTTAAGCCTTAACAAAACCGACATGTTGGAGGATATCTTGATTTAAATAATAATTTTTTTTGTGATGTTAGTCCCAATCGGGTAGGAGACTTCGTCGAGAATTTTAGATTTTTGGTGACGTCGGTCCCTATTAGATAGAAGACTTCGTCGAAAAAATATTTTTTATTTTTTTAAAGAAAACTTTAAAATTTTAATATACTAAAATCAACTGACACAAATTTAAAAAAATTAAGTAAATCAAAATCTTCGTCAATCCCTAATAAATAGGAGACTCGTTGATATAATATTTTAATCATAAAAAAAATCTCATGTTAAAAAAAATTTCATAAATATGTATGTTCAAATTTTCTAACATACATATGTAAAATAATAATAAAAAAAGCTAGAAAACACATAAAATAAATCAAGAAATCCAAAATTCACCTATATTATAAAATTATCAAAATGCCCCTGGAATGCCGAGAGTCACCGCCAAGTGACCATTCGCCTTCCGATGATCGTTTATGCGTGTGAACCACCCCGTCTTGTAGATCCGGTCATGGTGAGTCTAGCGGTGGTGATCTCATCTGGAGACGACGTCGGAGGAGGGAGATCGGAGCCTCCAAAGGTCCGATCGGATCTCCCTTCTTCACCGGCGATGCATCCAACCTCCTCTCGAAATTCTAAGCCCATCGATCGACTCGGGAGGTTAAGAAAAAGATGTCTATGGTGTTTAGAACCTTCAACGCCTTCTAGATCGACCAATTTTATCGGGTTTGTCAAAATGGGTCGAAAACGGGTCGAGTCTAATTAAATCATTTTTCGATGTCGTTGGGTCGGGATTTTTAACTAGAAATACTCGGGGGAGATGGGCGATCGGGTCCGTGGTGGTAGATCTTGTGTTGGTGACCGGAGTTGAGAGAAACGATCGAGTCTTTATTCGGGTCGGATCGTGGTGGTTTGATCTTCGATTTCTCTCTCCTCCGTGATTGTTTCTCTCTCTAACCGATGTTGATGGACCGATCTAGTGATGGGCTACACGTGGGTGTGTTGATCGGGGTCAAAATCTGATTGAAAAACGATCAATTGAGGCTTAAAAGTTTTAGTTGGGTAAACGGGTAATCGGGTCCGGTTATTGGGTTATGGCGTGTTTGGCTTTTCCTTTTTAGGTTTTTAGTATTCTTTTCGTTGTGTTTTTTTTCCTCTTGCTGCGTTTGTTTTCCCTTTTTTTCCTCCTCCCCTGCAAATTGAAATCCGAAAGCTTTTTATAGGTCGAAACCTCCTAAAATCTCTTCCAAAATCAATTCAAATTCAAATTTTAATTATCAAATCTTAATTTTGAGATTTTTCTAGCTAAAAATAAGGAGATTCTAATTAAAAAAGATTTATGGAAGATTTCAATAGATTTTTGAATGATTTTATAGAGATTTTATATTTTTTCCTTTTTTTGTTTTTGTTTTTTGTTTTATCATTATTATTTTTCTATTTTTTCCTTTAAAGGAAAACATTGGGTTATGACAGTTGCCCCTCTTTACAATGCTTACGATGAAAATTTTAGTCGAAGTTTGAACTTTAGAATAGATTTGTCTAGTGAGCTTGTAAAGATATTCTTTCTTTTTTTTCGAAAAAATAAATGTGCGATTCATGAAAGATTAGGTACAAAGTACATGAAAAATAAAAGATGCGATACATGGCCTTGTTGTAAAGGGCGACCTACCCTAGAAATTTAAACGTGCAAATGCGTGGCCTTGTTGTAAAAGGCAACCTACCCCGAAAATTAAATGTGCAATGTGTGGTCTTATTGTAAAGGGAAGCCTACCACGAAATTAAACGTGCAATGCGTGCCTTATTGTAAAGGGCTACCGAAAATTAAACAGTACGTGGCTTACGGTAGCCTCCGAAAAATTAAACATGTCATGCGTGACCTTATTGTCAAGGGCGACCTACCCTTGAAATTGAATATGCAATGGTCTATTGTGAGGTGACCCTACCTAAGTGAATGATCTATTATTAGGCGATCCTGCCTGAAAGAATGGTCAATTGAGAGGTGACCCTACCTAAGTAAATGATCTATTATTAGGCGA